CACTAACAACCTTGGCAAGTCCACCAACAGCCTAGCCCATGCCACAGGAAAACTCGGGGGCTGATAAGTGTTTTGCAAAAGCCTTTTTGTTCTGGGCTTTGAGGACCACTACCATCTAGTACTGTTATCAAACAGAATTACAGGATTATTACTGAAGAACTGTTTGCAAAGTTACGCAGTTTGCAATGAGATGAAATCTAGCAATAGAAAGAACAGCTAGGGGCTCTTGGAGTGGCCAGCTCAGTCTCCTCTGCCTTGCACCTTCAGCAGCTCTGGAAGGAGGGAGCACTGACCAAATGCAATGTGAGGATCTCTGGAGGGAAGGTAGAAGGTTACATCAAGGCATTAAGCTACTGTAATTCCAAAACCCCACCCAGGCAGAAGAAGCAGGGATGAAACACAGATAGGTGATGGTCTGCCTGGCAGTTTGTTCTCAGCTTTGAGAAACGCACTCTTTGCCGTTGTTTTGCTCCCCTCCCTTTGCAGGCACATGTTACCCATAAAAAGGCCAACACACCTGATTCTGCTGACTCTTCAATTTCGTTTTAGATGGAAAATGAAAACTGAAAAATGTCTTTACAAAACAATGTTTCAGATGTGTACATACATGGACTAGTTTACATGCAGTCCAGCTTTCTGCTGGCCCTTTGTAGCAATTTGGGCTTAAAGAGTTATATGATAAATCTTTCTCTATTTATTAAATAAACAAGGCCCAGTTAAATCTTTTGAGACATCCTTCAAGAGCCTCCGCTCACACTACTGTTCAAGCGCAGTTCTTTAATGTCACCATGTACAGATGCTTCTCAAAAAGAAGTTGCTTCACTTTTCAGTTGCATTTCCCAGAATTTGTTTGGCCTAGAGATGGGCATCAAGTGCTTTTTTTAGGAGGTGTCTCTTTTAGAAAGACACCAGGAATAGGCGGTCTGGATTTCATTGATTGTCCTTTACCATTATCATCCATGATGTTGCTTTCAGTGCTGTGCTAAGGTACCTTGCAGATGCTTTGTGTGTTATTTGGGTTACTCCAATCAGAAAATGGTCTCATAAATTATTTCTAGTAACACCTCGTGGTCCATAAAACGGCAGTCTTTGGATTTTTCCTCTTTCTCAGCATTTTTTCCTTGCTTTAAGAGCCAGGTGCAGATTCAGTTCACAACAGAAAAAGCTTCCTGGTCAGAAAGACAACAACTGAACAAACCTTCGTGTTTGTCCTGCTCTTCGAAAGAGAGAGCGGTGGCAGAGATGGTTTCTGGGGCCACAGTTGCTCTGCAGCATGCTTCTTATTTCACTGTGCATAGCTTATTGTGAATGGGTTTGAACAGTCCCAAGGCAGTACTGAGGTTTCAAGTATGTGGGAGACTAAAAGAGACCAGCTGATTTTTTTTTTTTTTTAATGGTACATTGGCATTTATTACTTTTCTCACATGCTTCATTCCTGCTGTGCTTCTTCCCCCTTTCAAGTCCATGGACCTAAACTTCAGCAATGGAAGGAGAAAGGGATCTTGGAGAAGAGAGTTCCCCACCTACCTGACCACCCTCCCACTGAAGACCACTGTCCTCTTGCCCACAAAGTGCAACTGTACTGTGGTAGCTGGTGGTAATATCATGCTTCTCTTGGTATGCACACCACAGCAGATGCAAATGATGCTATTGACTATGACAGAGCTCCACAGAGTATCTGTGGAGAGGGGAAGAACTGTGAGGAGATAAACCAGCAGACCCACGGGCACTTGCCATTTTGCAGCTCTCTGCTGGCTCTTGCTGGGCCTGGGGACCGTTACAGGAAAGAACTATGAGGATGGTATCTGCAATTTATTCAAGCTGTGACCTGTTTGCTGCAAAACAGAGCCTTAGCATAGCCCTAGGATTGGAGCTAAAATATTTCGTGTGAGCAGTAATGATAATTTACCATTACTTTTATCTTTTATCCTAAGGTCTTGGAGCCAGTATCACAAATATTTCCTAGCAGGACTGAACTGCCAGACCAGTGGTTTTCTATTGCTTTTGGGTTGCAGAAGTTTCCCAGTAGAGGTGACAATCCCTTCATGGTTAATCTAGACCTACTAAGACTTTAATTTTCTCATCATCTTTCACAGAATTTTCATGGTTGTGGTGCATGAAACACCCAGGAAGCTGCAACCTTGTGAGGGTGAAAATCACAGGAGACAGTGGGACACAAAAATTTTCAGACACAGCTAGTGCTATTTGTTTACTCCAGTCCTTCTGGAATGGGGACAGATGATGAACAATCTTGAACTGATGAAGCAGAATCCACCATTTGGAGAGAAGGAAAAGTTTATTGGTACTTTTATAAAAGGAAAAAGTCTGTATAATACATTGTTATAAATATTTATAAATATTCTGTGGGACTTAAGACCCACTCAAATAAATAAATAAATATTGCAATATAAATAAGTGATGCTTTCTTACTAGCTGGTGATTGCCAGCATCTCCTTTGAAGAATTAATTCTTTTGACATTTCAATACAGTTCTCTATAGTTGCAGATACATTTTTTGATGCAAAATCTGCCGTGCATTCATCCTTAGCTTAGGGACTAACCCCCCTGGCTACTGATGGAGTGAGCAACCCTTCTTACTTTGTTCTAATGTATGAATATAGAGATTTAACCCCACTGACATTTCTCATCAGTTTGGTAAGGATTGAGGCAGAACTTTTCATGAATCATATTGTTGTAGGTCCATTGACTCAGCATCCTAGAGAGCTCTTTTATGCAATTTATGCAAAATGAAAGCTTTTCTTGTGTAATTGCAGTCCAGAGTTCTCAAAGAGCAAAAGCCAAGAAGAATGGTGTAGGAATCAAGTAAAATTATTCAACTAGAACATATAAATAAAATCACACCTCTCCACTGTATAGACAGCAAGGTAAAAAGTCTTGCTGTATTTTGAGTAAGCAAGAAAATGCACAGCTGTCCGCCCACGCTGCAATTCTCCTAAATCCGTTAGAATCACTCTTTTCCTTTTGAAACTAAACAAAACCATGATGAGTTTAGAGGACGAAAAACAACAAATTATGAGAGAGAACTCTTGGTCTAATCCTAATCATTTAGCTTGTCCTGTGCTTCTGAGAACTTACATGACTTAGGAATCACTCCACATAGGAAAACTATTCTAACACAGAATCAGGCCCTATGACTTCTCTAATATAACAGCTTGGATGTTGTAGATAAAGAGATATTGTGTATATACACTTATACAGGAAAAAAAAAAAAAAGATTATTTTAAATGCTGTCAGCAGGACAAGTCCTGCGCTAAATCCAGAACAATTTCAATGAAAGCAAGAAACACAGGGAGCCTTGTTCTGATTTTGTTATGCTGCTGGAACTCCGGTGGCTTCAGTGAATTACTTCATGAGACGGAAAAAAGAACGGGACCAGAATCTAACCTAATGTCTTTTGCGTTATTGCTATGAGCACACTTGGGACAAATGTACCATTTTCAGACTGTTGTCAGGCTGTTAAATATACTAAATAAACAAAACAGAAAAATCTGTATCTTGACATGCAGAAAATGCACACACACCAAAATAAAAAGCTCAAGTATCTGCCACACTGGATTTTCGTGCAGCTATCGGTGCCTTGCTATTGATCTCTGCAGAGTACATCAAGAATAACTTTTTCAACATCACACACACAGATTTAAGATAACAGGAAGACTGAATCAAAATGAAAAGAAATAAGGGAGAAAAATGGCTAAGTATGTACACAATTTTCAGAGTTCTTGTTGAAATGAATATAGCTCCATTAAAACCAATCAAGCTATACTGAATTTTTCCAGCTAACAATTTGACACCTAAATTACAATATAAAGCTCTGCTCTGCAGATATCACGTCTTAACTACAGATTTGTAAACTTCAGATGTATATATGAGGTTAGATTCTGGTGAGTGAACTTACCCATAATGTATACGAATCTAGGGAAAAGGTTTTGTCAACTTTAGAGATCTCCTGATTAATATTAAAGTAATTTCATTCTTCCAGGTATAAAGCATCTGATACCTGCTCAGAACTAAATAGAAACATGGATGTATTTTCTAAATACAGACTTAATTTTCACTGATTAGATGAGAGTCTTCATGCATTATTAATAATTTGATGCCTATAAGGCATGATTTTTCGCTTTTGTTTTTCCCTCTGTATAGTTCAACAGTGTGCAAAACAAACCATCCTGTTTAATACACTATTGATCATTAGTAATCCTGATATTTCTCTCTGCATTGGAAATATGCAAAACTTATGAATGTCTCTACACGATATTTCCATATTGTGAAGCTAGAACTTAGTTAATATAGAAGTGTTGTAGAGAAGCACTTGAGAGACAGTGAGACTCTCCTCTTTTTTCCCCAAACTTCAGCATGGATTCAGTTAAGTGTCAGAAATGACTCATTCTACACAAGACCATTTGACCCTGTCCTGTTCTCCTGCTACTTACTCCAGTTTTCCATGTGTGGTGGAGCAGCGTGGTCACTTTTTGACTCGTATGGGCATGAAAAGATACTGAAGCTCCAACTTAACAGCTGAAAATATATATAGTAATTTTTATATAATGATATAACACACCATTGGTCAGTTTGTCTGCTCGGCTTGCATGGTGAGGGATGGTGCTGGTAAGAGGATGCTGTGTCTCTGTTGGAATCTCAGATGCTCCGTGTCTCTTCCTAGTTACATCAGTAACGTAACATCAATTTCTTGTTTCATTCAAGTGAATTCTTTTTTTCATGGATGCATACTTAAGGCAATTCAGACCCTAAAACGTTTTGTTTGTATTACTCTTTTCAGAAATCTTCTTTCAAGTAAAACAGACCTCCAACTGGAAATGTCCAACTTGTTTTTTCAGTAATCAAGGATTTTTTCCCAATGTCTTTCAGGTTTCTAATAGCCATTCTAACAGCCATTTTGATGTTCAGACTGAGTGTGCTAGACAGTTCCTTTTCCCTATTGTATACACCCACTTCTTCAGTTTCCAAGTGATGGGGCCACAGTTATCTTGTAATATAAAAGCGAGGACTTGCATATCTCCTGGCATCCATCATAGCATGTGGGTCATCTGGGTTGACCACATCATTCTGGTTGATTCTCATGGGTTCTCTGGGCATGTGGGAAAAGTCTGCTTGCTGCTGCGACTGAGATCCGAATGCAGAGATCTTTCTCTGCGGGATCAGGATCTGGTGAGGATCCATTGGATCAATATCTGCACTTCTAGTATTTCTGTGGGGCTCAGGTGTGTTGAATCGAAACAAAGGGATTTCATTTCTCCTGGACAAAAACTGGGAGTATGGTGGTGGATTCATACCAGGGAAGTAAGCTTGTTTAACTCTGCCTAAGCTAACCAGGAAGTTGTGTTTGGGAGACTGGTACACATCATATCCATTTTCCAGCGTCCTGTGGTTGAACACGCAGTCCTCTTGGCTGAAGTAATGCTTAGGGAAAAAAATGACACCTGTGAGCAGAGGCATCTGGTGAAGGACAAGTGCCAATTAAAGACGGAAAGAGGGATGAGATCTTGCAGCAGGTGTTTTTCTGATCTGCCAGCTCTGTCACTCAGGCAACTCAGGCTTAGTCAAATGTAGATTTGAGATGCATGCCCATGTTTTCAGCAAAGATATTGTAATGCTAACATTGTTTTCTTTCAGAGGCCTGAATTGTTTGAGCTACTCCCAACCCATGGCCTAGCAGGAATTCAGATTGGTCCATCACTGGATCTCATTCTGCCCTCGTTTGCCCAAGCAGGAACTCAGATGATTTTTGTTGGCTCTACAAGTCAATACGATCAAAGAAGCAAGGAAAGTTTAACCTAAGTGGCAGGTCCTCAGCTCGCTGAGATCTGCATCCTCCTACTGTAGCTGTAGCTGTACAGATTTTCCCTAGCTGAGGAAATAGGCACCACAGTAACAGATTGCACCTGCCTTTCAGTCTTGAGTCTTAGTAAAGACATCACTCACCGAACCAAAAATGTTTCCTTTCATGTCCATACACAGGTAGCGTCCACTCTTCACACCTGTGATTGTTACTGACCCAGCACCCTCGGACTTGATCATTAGGGCACCTGTTTAGAAAAACAAAGATGTCAAATCCAGGACCCAGTTCAACACTGCACCATTGCCTTAGAGATCCATAGCTGGTCTGGCTGGAAGTGTCCTCTGAGTGTCTGAACCAACCTCCCACATGACCTGGGGCTACTGCCCACCCTAGATCAGGTTATCCGTGGCTTTGTCTGTCTGAGTTTTGGAAAGCTCCCAGGATGGAGATGCCAACACCTGTCTGGGTGCCCTGTTCCAGTGCTGCACTAACCTCCCAAAGACAATGTTTTTTCGCCTAACATACCCTCTGAAGTTCCAAACCACAGCCTGGAGACATTGGCCTTAATTCTGTCATCAGCCGCTACCAAGAGGAGTTTATCTTCCTCATCTTCGTGGCTGCCCTATGGTATTAGATTACCCTTGACCTCCTTTTTGCTATACTAAACAAACGCAGCTCCCTCAACCTTTCCCGATAGATTGTGCTCAAGGCCCCTGACCATCCTGAAATACTGCTGCCTGACCAGCTCCAATTTCTCCACATCCACATTGAACTGGGGCTGTTTTAGTGCTCCAAGAGCAGTTTCACTAGTGCTGAGTAAAGTGGGAATAACAACTTTCCTCAAGCTGCTGACCACAGTAGGTTATGTACCTTCGTTTTGGAGTCTGTTTTTGACTTATCTTTGACTCAGTGTCTGCTGTAATCCTTAGGTCCTACCCAGGAGGGCTGTACACATCCAGCCTGTGCAGCTCAGCTCATGGTTGTTGCAGCCCTGGTGCAGAACTTTACACTTCTCATTTATCTGGAGTCTCAGTGGTACCATGGTGACCTGATAGAGATTCAGTCACCCTCCCTTTCATGATCCATTTCATCGTCTGGTTTCCACCCTTCGTGTTCCACCATGACAAGTACTTGTGTATTTGCTTCATGGCAAATATGAGAAAAACATGATATTTTGCTACCTGTTCTCTAAAACATCACACTTGTTCTTGACCAGCATACTTAAAATTTGTAAAATGTGCAGGAAGAATAACAGTAACACAGTGGAAGCATCCCTGCAAATGTTTCATTAGCAATTCCTAAAAAAAAAAAATAAAAAAAATAGAACAGTGGAAGCATCCCTGCAAATGTTTCATTAAAAAATAGCAGAACTTGATCCTTTTTTCTCCTTGATTAAATGATAACTTTTAAAAACACCCTTTGCTCCTTATATACTTATGTAAAAACATCATTGCATATGCTTACATTTTTAATTGAGTGTATGAAGAAGATGCTATGCAGCAATAATAATAAGCATGACTTTATAATGCCTAGGTGCTTGTGATTTGAGTGCTGCTAAAAGAGAATTACTTTTGAAACTCTATGAAATAACTCTCTTTAAAAAAACCCCATTTTTCTACTAACTAGGGTATTTGGGTCAGGTATTCAGCAAAGGAAGAAGAACACTTCAGTTTTCCATGAAACAATTTGAGATCCTTTTAGTTACAGTAGGGAATAGTTACTTCTCATGAACCCCAAAGGCTTAACACTTCTTTTACAACAATCTGGCCTTTCATAGTTTCCCCGTTTTTAAATCAACCTTTGCATACCCATATTCTATGCAATTAGAGTTAGTTTTAGTAGCTATCAGCTCTCTACCACAAAATACAGATTTTATGGATGCTATCAGTTTTCTACCACTGCTGTGGTGAGTTCCCTCAGTGCAGTTCCTTTGGTAATACCCAATAGCAAGTAGTTGTTAGGGGGATGTCATCACCAACCTGTGACAGGAACTTGCAGAAGAAGCTGTGGGTAAAATCATGAAGTGAAGGATAATTCAGGTAGTTTTTGCTTGCAGAGTATTACAGGAACCATAAGACTTCATTGCTCTTAGATGAGGAATGAAATTCCCCATCCATTAGATTTCTTTGGTGCTATTTTGTTTGTTCATTAAACAAAAGGATGATTATAGTTATGTATATTTTCCATCCCATAGCTAAGTCCTCTGTCTGCCTGCCTAACAAGAGGAGGGGATTTTCTATAGCTAGTGAGAAAGCAAGTCTTGTTCTCCCTCCCCTGCTCCCATGAAGACTGAGGGTCCATAGTAGGCTACTTACTGTAAATGGTTTGGTGAGGAACACCATCAATGTAGCCATCAGCATTGATTTGGAGATGGAAGCTGTTCCTCTCTGTATCTGTGTAGAGGTGCATCAGGCGATCTCCACTCCCCCAGCTGGGATTCAGCAGCGGAGAGGAGTTGGGAAAGGCGAGGGTAGCCTTCAAGCTGCAGAGTACCAGCAGCATGTACCCCAGGCAGCTGTAAGGACCGCCCTGTGGCATGGCTCGCCGTTCCTAGCTGTCGGTCGGTATCTGCAATTTGATATGCCTCTGTACTTCTTGCTTGCCCTTGGTCGCCTGTGTCTGTAGTGTGAATCCTCAGATAGGTTCCCTTCTTTTCTGCAGAGGCTTATAAAGGGCAGCAAAGTGACATCACACAGGAAAAACTTCTCCACATCCTTGATTTTTGTCAAAGCAACATTTTAAGTGTCCCAAAACCTCAAGGGAAGGATCTCTGGCTAAGGTGCGGGGGGGAAAAATGTAAGGTTTCTAAAGACAGCTCATGAAAGCTAATCATATGTTCAAATGTTATCTACAACCCTGTGACATCTGAAAGCTTCCCACGCCCCTACTGTTAGATCCAGGAAGAGCAATCCACTGCACTTTACTTTTACTGAAGGGAATGACCCTTCAGACCTGAATTATCTTTTTTTTTCAGATATGTTTATTCAGGTTCCTACCTTCCCTCTCTGTTTCCAAACTACATTCTGATTTAGTGGAAACATAAAATACTGCTAAATTTTTTTGCAAATGTATTCAAAAGCTGATATTAGGTTATCCTGGGCCTGATTCACCCTTCATTATGGTACAAGTTTAGTAGTGAGCCTTTTGGGCTGATACTTGTTAAGCAAAGAAAAATTGATTGGAGCACAACCTGCTTCAAATAAGCTGTCCCTTTCATTTCTCCTGTTTCATTTTGAGTCACCTAAATAATTTGAAGCTGGACAAACAGCTGAAAATGACCTATAAAAAAGTAAACACCACATGTTTGTTCGCACATTGCACATCTGGCTGGCAAAATTTTACAGAGTCATATGGATTATTGTGGCCAGTAGATCTAGGATCTGTATCAAACCTGAAATCACTCTTATTGGCACATTTTTATTACTTCAGGTACAGCAAGCAAGCTTGGAAGAGCTACAAAGGGACATGACCAAGCTGAAAAGTAATAAATCGACAGCGATGTTAAAAACTGTTCCAAGGTACAATACCTGCTCTTCAGTTGTCCTGCCAACGTTCTGCGTCTTTACAACCACATTAAAAAAAATATGGTTGCATTTGTTGTATGAAATACTGTACTAATGGGACACTGTGCCTACGGGTAAAATAATGAAGGCAGGAATAACAGGTTATAAAACTAGGCTGTGTTGAGGTTTCTTTCAAAAATTAAAACAAAACTGAAGACTACCAAACAATAATTATTTTTCTAAAAAAGAAACCTGAGGATTTTAATTGTAGCAGTCATGTTCAGTTACAGTGTCTAGTTGGACACAATATGCAAAATTCTTAGTTTCATTAACAAGCTGTGGAGCAGTGCCATCAGCACCAGACATGTTATGGATTGCTACAACTGTAACCAACTGCAACCAACTGCAAAAGCTGATCTGATTTTTTTTTTTTTTTATTGTTTAAAATTAGAAAAAGTCTGCCAAATTCTTGTCACACCTGTGTAAATCTAGAGACTTGCGTCAGTGTATATACACCTGTGTAAATGACAGCATTTTTTAGCCAAAGTGTATAAGGGTCATATCTTAAACTGAGTAGACTGACAAAGCTGTCTTCACTGAGAGGCAATCTAGGCTACAGATTTTTACTGGTTATAACATCTGAAATGCTTTACTTTCATTTAAAAGATAGCTTGGAAGGAAAGGAAGGTGTTTCATTCTTCTCTTTCTTTAAAGAGATGTATCTATTGTTGAAATTATCCACCAGTATTTTTCACTCTGGTATTAAAACAAATGCTTGGGGTTTTTTTGTTGTTTGTTTGTTTTGTTTTTCTTTTGCTCCCTTTCATTAGACTACCACTGAAATGTGGATATGTATAGCTCAGAAACAGATGCAAAAGTTTCTGTGAGAGGCACTTATAGGATAGTGTGTCCTCTTGGAATTTTTTGTGATTCTTTTCTGAATGCAGTTTTTCTGGTTTGTTATTTCATATTCATCACGGATTTTTTGGTGCTTGCCGTTATGCACTGGTCTGATCTCCCCCCAGTGCTCTAGCTGCAGAGAAACAGTTCTCAGAATTTGAAAAATTTGTTCAAACCCCATTTTAGCACATGCCAGCTGTGAGCAGCTGTTTAATTTTTTTCTGTGTCAAAGAAGCAAAGACTACTTTCACATGCTTAAGTTGTTTGGCATTTTCAAAAGTTCCCCATAGGGTCAGCAAAACTCCAGACTGCTGAGTTCTGTTTAAGCTGCTGGGCTAAAGTGAATTTATATGTCTCTGCTCGTGAGGACAACAACGCAAATTTTGCCTTTTCATGGACATCGTTGTTGTTGTCTTAAACGTACAAATGCCCACTGCATGTGTTTTTTTCAACAGTCCATTTCTTTTTTATTTCAGGCTGATCCATTTACTCCATCTGTTGGTATGCCACTTACTTATTTCTACCCATTCAGCTGTTGATGAAGTAATCAGGTGTATGAAAGCTTGTTTACTTCTTCAGCTGTGTCTGTTAGTCTAATAGAAGTGATGACAACCTTTCTTCTCATGTATCGTTATGCTGTTGCATCAGTATTAACAAGATTTCTGCAACTTTTACCACATACGTCAACACTGCTTTTTTAGATCTCTGTGTTGTTCTGAGACGTTTGACAAATCAAGACAGCTTTTCTTATTTTTCAGCAAAGAATTAGCTGCAGAGTCTTACAGATTTTGCTTGTTTTAGAAGAAAGGAAAAAATGGAACAAAAAACCATTTCAGCAAACTCAGAACTGCTGTTCTTCTTTAACTGCTACCTTAGTCCAAATGGATAATTCAGGTAGTGCTAAGTTTTGTTCAAACGTGAAAATAGGTTAGGCCCTGCTATGAGGAGCCTTTAAGCAGACAGGAGGCAAAGTGAGTGAAAACAGCAGTGTGAGCACATGTGGACCCTGAGACATGTTGGTGGGAAAGGGCAGGTCTGGCCTACGCCTCAGGACTGAACACGGACATTCCTATGGTCAAGATGGCCACATTGCCACATTTTCCACTTCCCATTGCAGGGGTGCTACACAGACAGTGTCAGGTGCCACAGTGGCGCAGGGCTTTCCTTGGGTGCATCCTGCAAAGGCAGCTGGGAGACAGCCCGGAGGTACCACCCATGGTGGATGTTGGGAATCACTGAGGTAAAGTGAGGAAATTCTCACTTCAGAGCAAGGTTGTAAAGAAAAGAAGGATAAGACAGGCCCCAGCTTGCAGGCTGAAATTTATTGGAGAAAAATCATTGATGCTCTGCCCCTTAGTGGGTCTCATTCTCCTCCTTCTTCCTGCCATGCCTTCATCCCAGGCCTGCTCTGGCTGCCTCCTTGCTCCTTGCTTCAGAGGCAGCACAGGTCTGGCTATGCCAGTTAGCCTGGGCACTCAACTGGGCCAGGTGCCTCGACTGTAATGGCTGTGATGCTTGTGCCTCGCTGGTACGGCATGTGCTAGGAGTGCTAGCCCAGGACACAGAGCAAATGGGACACAAACCACTCAGTATCTGTAAATGAACGTAATAACTTTCTGTGCTGAATGAAGCAAATGTTGTAATTTATTTAAATATGATCATTTAACCACAATTTATACCCAAAACTGTACACAGAAAGAACTGAGCTAGGGTCATGGGAGCAGCCTGGGATCTGACTTTGCCCCATTTTGGCTGGTTTGAGTTTCAGTCTTAGGTCATTATTTGATCAAAACTTACCATTTCGAATCTGTAAAACCCTGATCTCAGCAACTGTATGTCATCCCTTGTTTTGCTGCTAGCCAAGTAACTCCTTTCTTTCTTTGCTTATCACTTCAGTCAAACGCAGAGGACTTACAAGAAAGATAAAGGCAAACTTTTCTATGTTTTATTCTTTTTTTCTACATTTTAAAGTTCTTTCTACAAGTTTAAGTTACTTTAAGTGATTTTCTCTCAGTTACCCTTTGCAGACCTTTTGAAAGTCCTTCATGCACTGTCAAAAATTTGCAGGTTAAAAAAAGGAGTTTCCTACTCAATATAATGGGGTTGCCTTCCAGGATTCTCCTACAAGTAAAAATGCACGTTCCCTCACAGTGGTGGACTACCTTTCATCATGTAGGAGCACCTGTAGCACTGTTGCTTAATAAAGCACATTGACTTCTATTTAAACAGGTGTGTGGCTTGTCCTTTTGCAGAACTCTGTGCTATCTGGGTATCTAGGATGGCCTCAGGTAGCCTGTTGCTCTCTGCTGTTTCAAAGATCACAAGGGAGTTTGGGTTGACAGATTTGAAACTACCTCTGCTTTTAACGATTTTCTTTGCATTGCCTCTCTTCAAAGAGGTCAGAGAAATCAGGGACCCTTCTCTCTGCCTCCCCTCCCTTAAAATCACTCTGGGACAATCACTTCTTCAGCATTGGAAATACAAGGGTGGAGTGCCTCTCCCGAAGTTATTCTAGGAATAATGACGCACTAAGTCAATGGTATGTACAGTGCATGCTCTGTGTGTATGTGTGTGCATGAGCCTTTGCCACAGACTTTACCCAGTGTTGTTAAACACATCCTGAGTGACCTTATTTGGATGTCCCATTCTTGTCACACTGCCCACGACTAAAGAAAACATCCTGGCTAGGTTCACCTACGTGAAACAAATGAGGTAAGCACATCCCACTGGGTCTGGGACCGCAGCATGTACAAGCACTTGCCAAATATATTGGTTTGAG